AACAAGGTCAGTCTTTTCCATGTCCCTCTTCCACAGAGAGGAAAAAACCTCTCACCTTATAGGCCTGGCGAAGATCGCTGTTCTTTGATACTTCTGCCTCCAATGCTAATGGAGAAACTTGGGTGTGGCTAACTGTATATGGACTGGCTTCTTACTGGCTTCTGTCACTTTTTAGCAGATTCAGAAAAAATATACCCTTCTCAGATCTCTGAAATATTAATGGTTGTCAGCTTGACAGCATCAGGCAGTCAGATCCACTATAGACTAGTCAGCATGTTAGCTGATAAAGTAATGACTATCTACTGTTCAGGCACAAGCTCAAGGTTTTTAGGTTTAGTTTGGTTATCATCTAAGTATAAACTTAAGGGGCTTTTCATCAGGCCAAAGGCACCTCTGTCCAATCCATACCTGGCTCTCTGGACAAAAAAAATGTACATGCTTCTAGCCCAAATATGTAATTATTGCTAGGACTCAAAATTATAAATATGTTCCAACTGTTTGAACAGATCCAGATATCTGCTTTTTCTGCACTGTGGGCTTCAGTAAATACGTTTTAACTTCTGTTCACAGTTTAAACATGTCTTAAACAGGTTTCTGCTGCTGGCAGACACATCTGAGTATATCAGTTGCTGACTACAGGCTATTCCTAAGTAGACTGTGAGCCCTGGACTTGCTGTGGATATGAACCAGTCCAGCTGATGTGGACACCCCCTGTCTCTGAAACAGAGTCTGCCAACCAGAAGCTCCTAATGGAATCCCCATTGCCTAAATTCCTGTTTTTGCTTTTGACTAGCATTTCAGCCTTCTTGGGTCCCTAACTTCATCCCAAAGTCATCAGAAAGTAGAATGGGAATGAATACGTTGCCCATTTTCCCTGGTTGAAATGCTAAGTCAGAAGGAACTCCCTTGCATGGGTATGCCAATATCTCTCACTCCCTGATGGGGCCATGGGAGAGACAGCAATTCCATGATTGGAACTCCCAAAAAAATAAAAAAAAAATAAAAAATGGGGGAATGAAGGGACCAGCTCCCCATTTCGGCAGCCATAACAGCCGTACACGTACTTGTCTGAACTTGCCTTGGTCACTAGGGAGGTCAGATGCCTGCCTTGTGGCAAGGAACCAATCAGAAGTTAGCTGGTGGTACTGTGCTTTACGGCTCTGGGTGTGCTTTACAGACAAGTGCACAGCAATGACATGCAGAGCATAGCAACCACCCTCGGAGGGCCTATGGGCCATAACAACCAGTTGATCAATCAACACAGGGCAAACCGTCCAAGCTTGGAGCCACACCAATCCTGAGCCTGTTCATACCCCTAGACACTCCCCTTACGCTGCCATCCATCATGGGTGGATGAAAGACCCGAGCTAACAAGGGATTAGCTTGTTAAACAACTATAATAAAGCCTTGTGCAGTTTGCATCAAGCTTTCGACTCTGCCTGGTGATTGGGGTGACTGCATTCCTGGACCAAGATCCTGGGGGCCTGAGCCTTGGGGGGGGGGTCTTTCAAAGTATACAGATACATTCTTTCTAGTTGGGGAGGTTGTTTGTTTGTTTGGCTTTTGAGACAGGGTTTCTCTGTGTAGATTTGTAAATCAGGCTGGTCTCAAATTCAAAGAGATCCACCACCCAAGTGCTGGGATTAAAGACGTGCACCACTACCTCCTGGCTCTTTCTAGTTTTTATACTTTGGTTTTTTAATTAAAAAATTTTTATTGTATTTCAGACATTTACTTCTGTCTTCTGTCTTAGGGTTCTATTGCTGTGAAGAGACACCATGACCACAGCAACTCTTATAAAGATTCCTAAGTAGACTGTGAGCCCTGGACTTGCTGTGGATATGAACCAGTCCAGGATTGGGGTGACTGCATTCCTGGACCAAGATCCTGGGGGCCTGAGCCTTGGGGGGGGGGTCTTTCAAAGTATACAGATACATTCTTTCTAGTTGGGGAGGTTGTTTGTTTGTTTGGCTTTTGAGACAGGGTTTCTCTGTGTAGATTTGTAAATCAGGCTGGTCTCAAATTCAAAGAGATCCACCACCCAAGTGCTGGGATTAAAGACGTGCACCACTACCTCCTGGCTCTTTCTAGTTTTTATACTTTGGTTTTTTAATTAAAAAATTTTTATTGTATTTCAGACATTTACTTCTGTCTTCTGTCTTAGGGTTCTATTGCTGTGAAGAGACACCATGACCACAGCAACTCTTATAAAGGAAACAATTGTGGTGGCTCCTTAGTTTAGAGGTTCAGTCCATCACGGCGGGAGCATGGCGGCATGCAGGCAGTACCTTCACAGGCAGGCAACAGTAAGTTATCTGCTTCCCTGGGAGGCACCCTGAGCATAGGAAATCTCAAAAGGCTGTAACTCACTTCCTCTAACAAAGCCACACCCACTCCAGCAGAGCCACACCTCTAATAGAGCCACTCTGAGATTATGGGGCCAGTTACATTCAAGCCACCACAGTTTCTTACCTACCAAATCTAAAGCAGAAAATCTTCAAAGACTAAAGAAAAGGGTTCAGTTGACATAAGAAGCAAATGTACTTGATGGCTGTAGAGGAAGGTGACAGGACAGTGTGGTTATCCTGCCCTGTGAGCCAAAACACAGGCAGGAACTGCCAGCAAGCTCCAGATCTAAAGTTTTGTTTTTAAATAAACATTAAAGTTTTATATCCCTTTCTCAGAATAAATTTTCTCAGAATAATTTTGGGATCTTTGTCCCTCTGGGTCAGTTTGCCCAGAACTATCTGATAAAGTTGACTGATGAAGGCACCAGACCCCTCCAGCTTCCTCTCAGCATATTAACTGGTCACTCAGAACATAATCTGTGAATGTTGCTTGATAGTGAACTGTAAGCTATATTTCTTCTTAACCCATGGGACTTTCAGTGTGTGGGGACATTGACGGAAACCCCCACCTGCTTTACCGGTCTATCAAGAAAGAAAAACAGGCCTCCAGACATCTTTAGGCTTCTGCTGGGGCCAGAACTGAAACTTCTAGAGATGAATGACTCAGTGCTTGCTGAGGTATTCCTGCTGCTTTAAAAAACTCTCAGCCCAAGATCATTTTATTATCCAATGGGTGGTGGGGCTGACATCTCAAATTATACCTTATAGTTTTCTGACAGACACAGTGCTGAATGTAAAAGAAAGGCAATAAAGTTCTGATAGCTGTAAACAAAAATTGTAGACAAAAAATTAACCATAACAGAAAAACTGATAGCTTTGATTACATTAGGAATTTACTGGGGCTGGGGGCAATGACTAGGTAGACAAGCATGAGGACCAGAGTCTGAATACTTGGCACCCACATAAAAAGCCATGCATAGACAGAAACTGGCAATCCTAAGAGCTTGTTGGCCAGCCAGCCAGCCTCTCCAAACTGGCAAGCTTCCGGTTCAATGAGAGACCCTGCTCCAAGGCAATCAAGACACGGAGGGGTAGATGAAGACACCCATGTCCTGTTGTGGTCTCTGTATGTGGGCACAGCAGAGGCCCCACTCGTCTACATGCACATACCACCCCACAACCACAACAAACTTCCAAGCATTTTTGCATAGCAACTGTTCCCAGTATAAAACATTGTTGACAAGATGATTTTATGTCTGTTCTGTGCAAAGCACTGTGGAAAACAAGAGTAAGAGGAGAGTACGGTAAGGGGGGATGAAGAGAAGTATTGCAGAAGCAGTAAAGGGAGGAGGAAAAGAATGACAGAGTATAATGACACATATGTATGGAGATGACACATGTTATTTTCTCTAACTTTAACACTGTTTAAAAAACAAAAATGCTGGGCTAAAGAGATGACTCAGCTGTTACGAGCCCTGGCTGGTCTTCCAAAGGACCCAGGTTCAAACTCTGAGCACCCATAGGGCAGCTAAAAACTACCTACAACTCCAGTTCCAGGGAATCTGAAAGCCTCCTACACACATACATGCAGGCAAAACACCAATGCACATAAAAAAATTAAAATGAGCCAGGCCTGGTGGCACACACCTTTAATCCCAGCACTCGGGAGGCAGAGGCAGGTGGATCTCTGTGAGTTCGAGATCAGCCTGGTCTACAATAGTGAGTTCCAGGACAGCCCCCAAAGCTACACAGAGAAACCCTGTCTCGAAAAACCAAAAAAGAAAAGAAAAAAATTAAAAATTGTGTGTGGGTGTGAGGGCATTTGGAGAGATGACTCCAAACTTAAACAGCACTGGCTGCTCTTGAAGAGGACTGAAAGTTCAGTTCCTAGCACCCATTGTCAGGTGGCTCCTAACTGCCTGTAACTCAAGCTCCAGGGGAGCTGACACCTCTGGCTTCCATAGGTATCCACACCCATGTGCCATACACATACACATATAATAAAGTTAATTTAAAATTAAAAGTACACATAAATAAAAATATTTTAAAAATTGTGTGTCTTTTCAGGGAAGGTGTGTAACATATATGTGGAAGCCAGAAGTCAACCTGAATGTTGTTCCTTGCTTTATTTGAGACAGACTCTCACTTGGCCTAGAATTTGCGAACTAGACCATGTTGGTTGGTCAGGGAGCCTCAGAAATCTACTGTCTCTGCCTCCCCAGTGCTTGGAAGACAAGTATGGTCCTCCATGCCCAACTTTTTTACATGGGCTCTGGGACTCAAACTAGGGTCTTCAGGCTTGCAAGGCAAGCATTTTGGCATCTAATTAATGTTCCCTAACCCCTATTTTTTTATTTATTTACTATGTATACAACATTCTGCTTCCATGTATATCTGCACACCAGAAGAGGGAACCAGATCTCATAACGGATGGTCGTGAGCCACCATGTAGTTGCTGGGAATTGAACTCAGGACCTCGGGAAGAGTGGTCAGTGCTCTTAACCTCTGAGCCATCTCTCCAGCCCTCCCTAACCCCTATTATAAAAATTCTCAGTTACACAACAATCTAGAGGCCAGCATGTGGGGCACATGGAACCCTGTAGAGAAAGAGACAGACAGACAGATTCTCCAAAAGAAATATGAACAAAAGACCTGACATTGTGTGAGCTCACAGGGAGCTCCTCTTCTGTCCTTTCTGCTGCCCAGTGGAGGTGGAAACAGCCATGGAAACAACCATCACCAGGGAACCTGAGGTCTCTTGATGCTGAACTTCCCGTACCTACAGAACTATAAAATAAATTTACTTTTAAAGTTTTCCAGTCTTGTGTATTGTTAAAGCAACACAAGTAGACTACAGCATCATGTATGTCACACGCGCTCTCGAGCTTATGAATCCTGGGGAGCCCTCCTGTTCTGACTACTGCATGATGCCCAGGCTCCTCCCCAGTCAGAATTCAGCATGTATCCATACCCTGCACTGCATCAGGCATGGCCACACTTCATGCTTCCCCTACCCACACTAGTAATAAAGTCTCCACAAGTTTGAGAAAACAAAACAAAACCAGTCTTTTTGAGAACTGATTTTAAGTACCACTAAAATAGTACAAAGGGGAAATGTTCCTCAAAGGATATAAAATTTCATTTAGATAGGTCAAAGTATACAAAATTTGAGTTAGATGAGAGAAGTAAGTTCAGGAAATACATTGTATAACATAACACAATGTATTGTAGCCAAGTACACTGACGCCTGCAATCCCAGAATTCAGGGGGCTGGGGCAGAAGGCTCATCACTTTGGGGATTATAGTAAGATTATCTCAAAACAACAAACAAGGAAATCTACACTAAGGAAGTCTCAGAATTTCATTTCTACATAAGCCAATCCACTCCCACACTGCAAGCCAGAAGCACTCAGGAGGTCAAGGGAATGCTTTCAACCTTGAAAACCTAGACACAGGTCAGTCAACAGACACGGCAAACTAAGCCAAAAAAAAAAAAAAATTAGCCTGGGGCTACCCTCCTCCATCCCTGACTTGGTGCTACCAGGCCACTGAATTTGAAGAGAAAGAGCTCCCTGCGCAGCCTGTGATCTCCAAGGCCAGTTTTTCAGTAGAAGAGCTAAAGAGACTTCTGAATCTTAGGGTACCTATGTCTTAATGGCTTGAAAGTGTGGATAAGTGTGGACAAGTGCTAATAAATACTCTGAGCATGGCAGTGCCTGCCTGTACTTTGAGAGGAAATCAGAAGGAAGTAGTATTCAAGGTCACCTTGCCTACAGAGAAGTTCAAGGCCAGCCTAGCTATAGTAAGATCTTGTCTCATCCTGGTAGTGGTGGCACACACCTTTGATCCCAGCACTCTGGAGGAAGAGACAGGTGGAAATCTGTGAGTTTGAGGCCAGCCTGGTGTACAGAGCAATTCCAGGACAGTCAGGGCTATACAGAAAAACCAAAATAAGTAAATAACTTTAAAAAATGATCTTGTCTCAAAAACCAAAAATCGCAGGGCGTTGGTGGCACATGCCTTTAATCCCAGCACTTGGGAGGCAGAGGCAGGGGGATCTCTGTGAGTCTGAGACCAGCCTGGTCTACAAGAGCTAGTTCCAGGACAGCCTCCAAAGCCACAGAGAAACCCTGTCTCGAAAAACCAAAAAAAAAAAAAAAAAAACCCAAACCATGCACATATAAAAAGTATCAGTATTTGCAGATGATACGACAGTATGCATAAGCAACCTTAAAAATTCTACCAGGGGCCAGGTGTTGGTGACTATGCCTTTAATCCCAGCACTCGGGAGGCAGAGGCAGGCGGATCTCTGTGAGTTCGAGGCCAGCCTGGTCTCCAGAGCGAGTGCCAGGACAGGCTCCAAAGCTACCGAGAGAAAACCTGTCTCGCAAAAACACAAAACAAAAAAAAAAAAAAAAAAAAAACCACCAGGGAACCCCCTCCAAACAAAAAAGCCCTCAAAAAAGGGGATGAAACAAAAAAACAATAAAAAAAAAAAAAAAAAAAAAAAAAAAAAAAAAATCAGTAGCCCCTCCTATATACAAATGACAAATGGACTGAGAAAGAAATCAGGGAAATAACACCCTTTACAATAGCCACAAGTAATATAAAATGTCTTGGTGTAACTCTAAGCAAGGAAGTGAAAGACCTGTATGGCAAGAACTTCAAGTCTTTGAAAAAAGAAATTGAAGAATATCAGAAGATGGAGAGATCTCCCATGCATATGGATTAATATAGTTAAAATGCCCATCCTACCAAAAGTAATGTATAGATTCAACAAAATCCCATCAAAATTCCAACACAGTTCTTTACAGACCTTGAAAGAACATGTCCTGTTTTGCTCTTTATCTTAGTTACTTTTCTACTGCTGTGAAGAGACCAAGGCAACTTACATAAAAAAGAAATTAATTGTGGGCTTACAGTTTCAGATAATGAGTCCATGGCTGTCATGGTGGGGAGCACGGTGGCAGGTAGGCAGGCATGGCTATGGAGCGCTAGCTGAGAGCTTACATGTGATCCACCAGCAGGAGGCAGAGAGCCAGCCGACTGGAACTGTGTGGGCTTTTGAAAACTCAAAGCCTAGTGACACATTTTCTAACAAGGCCACATCTACTAATCCTGCAGACAACTCCTGCAGCTAAGGGTTAAGTGTTTAAATATATGAACCGATAGGGGCCATTCTCATTCAAACATCCCATAGAACACATAGCAGTCCCTTGTCAGATAAGTAGCTTCAAAGTCTGTAGCTTGTCTTTTCATTGATTGATTAACTGAGACCAGGTCTTGTTATAGGGGCTGGGCTGGCCTCAAACTCTCTCCATCTACCTGCCTCAGTAAACATTGTCACAATTCCTGGCTCTCATCCTTTCAACAAGGTTTGCTACAAAGCAAGAGTTTAATTTTGATAAAACCTAACTTACTGATCTTTCTTTTGGTAGAGCAAGCTTTGCCAAGTACATATCTTCAGAGGACAACTTTCTGGAGTCAGTTTTTTCTTTCACCTTTCCAAATGTTCATGGCTCCCACTCAAGCCAGCAGCAGACTTCGGCTTCTCAGCCTGTGCGTTTACCTGCTGAAGCATCCTTCTACGCACACTAACATTTTTAATTGCCCTTTGGCATTCTGGTAGAGTTTCCAACAGGGCAAGGAGCCTTTACGAGATCCTGGTGGATCTCTTGTCTTTCTTTTTGCAGAAGTGGGAAAGCAGCAAGCGCACAGGGGAAGGGCAGGAGCCCAAATGTTTATCACTGACACACTCAGGACAGGCACACAGTGGGTCCAAAGATCTCGAAACTTATTTCTGTGAACTACTCACACTCTGTTCTCTGAAAAAGCACACCCATGCAAAGATAAAAGTCAAAGTAGAATAGCCAGGTGAGGTAGTACTGGGAGAGAACAGGAGGCATATCTCTGTGAGTGCAAGGCCAGCTGTCTACACAGTGAGTTCCAGACCAGGCAGGGCTTCCTAGTGAGATCCTATCTAAAGCATACAAAAAAAAAAAAAAAAGTCAAAGTAGGGCTGAAACTATAGATCAACTGACAGGGTGTTAGGCACACAGGAAGGCCATGGTGGGACCTCTAGTACCATATAAACCACCTGGCATAGTGGCATTAACCAGGTGTTGAGGCACTCACCAGTAATCCTGGCACCTGGGAGGTTAAAAGCAAGATCACAAGGTGAAGGACATCCTTTGCTACATATTAAGCTTGATGCCAGCCTGGGCTAGAGACTCTATCTCAAAACGAAACAGTCAAGGTGCACCTGTGTCAGTTCAAGCACAGGGAATCCATGCTAGTGAGCAGTTGAACAATGAATACTTTTGATGAGGACAGGACGACTGCAAAACCAGGTGCATTAAAACAGCAACACAATAGTTATCAAAGGAGCAACTCCACTTGAAAGCTAAGAATCAGACTGAAGCAAATTAGACTACTGTTTTAATGATGATAATTAAGGATTATAAATTGACCAAACTACCCTGCTGTAATGGACTAAGAAGGTTTGTTTATCCCTTCTCTGTCCTAGGGGAATACATTATCTCATGAGTCCATTTCAACCAATGCCACTTAAAAGCTGATGAAATGCATAAACATTTCATTCTATTAATATAAAAATCCTTTATAGGACATAAGCATGAACCAAAGTGTAAGTGGCATTATGAGTAAAGTGAGAAGTATTGCTGTAGCATTGCCCATAGAAAAAAGGCACAAACATTCCTGCTAGTTTTAAGACCCTACTCTGTGTGTGTGTGTGTGTGTGTGTGTGTGTGTGTGTGTGTG